GAGCTGTGGAAGACCATCATCGGGGCAGATGGTATGTGCATGGATATGGTCCACTCTTGTCCAGCCAATCTGGTGAGATTCGCGAGTTCTTTCCATATTTGGTTGTTGCAACGGTTTGCGCGGTCCTTCTCATTTCCATTTGCTTCACACGATCTGTTTTATGGAGCTTGCGGGCCCTCCTTTGCCTGTTCTGGATGTTAGCTGTTCTTTGGCGTTTGTCTTCCCTCGTCTTTCCTGAAGGGCTGTACTACATTGTGCCTTCCATGATGTTGCCCTTCCTGGTGGGTGTGGCCTTGGATTATGACATTTTCTATACTGAGGCAGTCTTGGAAGAATGCAATGGTGGCCTCCCAGTGAAAAAGGCTGGCATCAAAGCGCTTGAGAAGACTGCCAACATCATCACAGCAGCCGGAGTGGTCATGATAATAGCCTTCTGCCCACTCCTGCTTTCTTCAACGTTAGTCTTGAAGCAGATTGGTTTCATGGCAATTGGTGGTTTGTCTATCAGTGCTTTCTGGAACACCAAAGTGGCCATGCCCGTGTGCTTGCACTTCTGCGGGAAGCACAGCTTTTGGCCTCGGAATTTGGAGAAAAAGCAGCGCTGCCAGCAGCCAATTGATGCCATTTTCCTGGGGCACCCTGCCTACCTGGTAGATACGTTTACCTTGTTGACCTCGCCTGACACCGAAAAGCCATGGAGCGCATCGTGGTGGATGTACCTCTTCCTTCCTGTTCTTTGGCTGTTTGGTTTCGTTGGGGCACATATCTTGAGGCGCCTTGGCTTGCCAAATCATCTTGTTTTGGATGACTACGAGTACAACGGCCTTCATGTCCAGACTTGGATGGTTCTGCACTTCGGCCGCCACTTTCGCAACTCTTTGGAACTTCATGATGCTCGACGCAACGTGAGGGCAGCAGCCAGCAGGGCTGAGAAGACCGGCGCCCGGGTGCTAGGATTAGGTGCGCTCAACAAGGCAGAATCTTTGAACCGTGGAGGCCTGGACTTGGTTCAACACTTGCCTTCAAGCCGAAGCATGTGTGTGACTCATGGAGATCATCTCACAGCTGCTGCAGTCGTGGAGAATGTGCTACGGCTGGTCGCAAGGTTTCCTGAGTTTCGGAAGAAAATCTTCATGACCGGAGCCACGGGGAAGACCGGGAAGGCCGTTGCTCTGGCCTTATTGCGCCGCGGTGTCTCCGTGATGTGCCACAGTGGCAGCAAGCAAAGACGAGATGAATTGGAGACTCATGGGCTAGCCACTGCATCCCACCTGCGTGATGGGGCTGACTGCGGCATGTGGATTGTGGGTAAATATGACCAGTTGGTGAACCAAGTCATGCCTCCATCTGCTGTTGCCTGTGTCTTTGCGGTGCCAAATCCAGTTAATCCAGTGTCCCGCTCAGATGTCATGGTATATGATGGTGCCACCATGCAGATTGATGAGTCGCGCTTGAAAGGACGACGAGCAAATCTGAAGCTCTTACGCCAAGAGATTTATGCATGCAATGCAGCCACCCTGCTTCTTGCATCAGGTTCCAAGCAGTTCGATGATTTGGGTGAAGTCGATCCATTGACATTGGAAGCCTACCTGGAGGGGGCTGAATCCATTGGCATCACTCTGAAGCCTCTTGAAGACTTGCATAGTAAGGGGCGGTAGCTCTTAGAATTTTGGGTTGTGACCTTTTTTGCACATTTGTGATACAGCTACAGCTCCTGCGCGGGGCCTTAAGCCTTAGCGGAATGTGGCTCTCTCACAACAATTTTTCCAGTTGCGCAGCATGCGCAGTGGTTGTACAGCATGCACAGAGGTCATGGGATTGATCGACGCAATAGCAAACCAGACAAACCGAAGACCCCAAGTTTTGATTTCTGATCAAGTTCGATGAATCTCGCTTGAAATGGGCTTGATGAGCCATGAAAGGTTTGCTGTTGTGTCTAAGTCCATGTCATTGCCTAGAGGCTGTGCCAACGCCCGTTTTGAGGGTTGAAAAGAAGTGTGCTTGATGTGCCAATCCCTGGTCCAATCGTGTTGGGTTGCCACCCTGGTTTCGTCCCCTACAGACGTTTTTATTGAAATCCTGCTTCAGGTTCAAGATCGAAGCGTCCTTTGACCGGGAAAACTGGTGGCGAAAAAAATGGTGCGTTCGAAGGTGCGGCGGTGGTGGGGCATTGAGAGCTGGAGAGCTTGCATTCGTTGGAGGCATCAGGCCCACGCCTTGCCCCTGAAACTCCAGTGAAACTGACTGTCCGACGGAGTTCTTGCCGTTCCGGACGATTCAGTCCAGGGTTGGAGTGTTTGCTTTACCCCTGTCATTCCGGTGGCAAAGAACTTGTGAAGTTTTGAGTTGCGAGCAATGAAGAAGATCCCATTGAAAAACCACCGGAAGTTTGATGCTTTTGCTTGAACTTATCTTTGCAATCACGTTGGTGGAGGTCATGAAAATTGCAGCCACACGGGTCGCTCGAGCACAGGACTTGCAGTTGACATAGAGATATATGTGTGCGGTGTTTTTGTTCCGAATGTGTTTCCTTGCATGAGTTTCCTTGCATGTGCCCAACGAGTCTATCAGTCTATCAAACTACGCACATGTTTGCCGGTCGGTCCGTTCGGTTTTGCTAATTTGAATGTAGATCATGGTTTTCACCCAATTGCACGCAGCCTTGCCCACAGTGTTGTTTGGGCAGGATGATCTGCGCAGCTTTTTCGACGGAGCACTCCAGACCAAGGAAGGGATTGTGGAACTGCCCTGCGCCGCACCGGAAGAGGACCAATCATTGACCAACGTCTCCGACTTTCCAACCATTCTGATAGTCCTTGTCCTTTTGGAAAGGGGGGTGGAAAGATGTGAAAAGTAGCATGAAAGTATCATAAGTCATAAACCAACAAAATATCAGCAGAAGACCATCCAAGACTCCGCAGATGCTTCCTGCAGGAAGTCCAAATCCATGGCCTGCAAGACAGAGAGCGTTGAGCGCCGGGGCGCCTTGGATGGATGCAGCGCCAGTTCAAAGTTGCTTTTTTTTTTTTTTAAGTCTGTGATGATTTTGTGATGATTTTGATGCCGTTGCTTTCAGTTTGAACGCTTTGCGCTTCAAAAAATGATATGAAAGCCATTCATCATGGGGAAGTTTCATGACATCATGCATCATAGCACAGCTTCACATGCGACCATGAAACCCAGCGTGGTTACAACGGCGCAACGACATTCAGCCAGGTTCGCACAGCGACACGTGTGTCTTTGCAAAGCTATGTTCGTTGCTCTTACAGATGCCATGTACATGGATGCAGGGTTGAAACAGCGTGCACTTCAACACTGGGGGTCTTGAAAAACAAGGGAAATTTACACAGGCTTAGTCTCCCTGTATATGTAACTGATGCAAAAGTGAACAGTGACAAGTCTTTAGGGGCAGGGTAACGTGTGGTTGAGCATGGATGCAAGAATGACCAGATAGTACCGCAGCGATAATTATATTCTTCTGAGAAGCAACGTTGCCTTCGTTGCCTTTGACGGACCTTCCTGCTGAGCCCATGCAATTTTCACAGATGCAAGAGCGATAGATGTTCTGCGTGTGTGTGAATTAAGTTTTGCAAGTAGCAAGGGCATTTCAGTGCTGCGGGGGAATGGGTGTATACCGTATACCAGTGTTTGACAGTAGAACAGCTGCGCCAGGGAGAAATTAGCCTGGCGCTTTTACAATTATGGGCTGTACCATTCCAGCTGGATGTTTGCTGTCAAACTGTTGGCATTTGTTGGCATGTGGGGTTTGGGGGAGTCACTTGTTTCAAGCACATGTGCAAATGTTTGATTGGCCCATCTAGCATCCAAAAACGTCACCATACGTTCGGACAGTGTTGGACACCTCTGTTGGACGTTGGACACAGAGCCCTTAACCAGGATGATTTCTGCGCGTGTGAAAAACAGCCTCTTTGAGATTGGGCTCTTAGGATGTTGCCTTCGGGGAAACTGCCAATGCGCCTGCCTCACGCCCCAGGCTGGGATATATCCTGGGATCACAAACGGAGATTGCGGTTTTGGAAGTAGCTTCTCCCATCGCTTTTCAGCTTTTCCATGAGATATCCGGAATTTACATGAATTTGTCACTATCTACGGTAGCGCATGTCCAACCGTCCAACCCTGCTTGACAGTGGCACAATGTGGCACATGTTGTTCAACCTGATTCTGCCAGGTTGAAACCCTCATCAGACACGGACAGGCGGGTCATGAGTTGCGTGTACCAGGCCGAAAGTCTGACATCAGTGAAAACTACAGCACATGGGGATGAATTTCAAAGAGGCTTGGAAAGCTGTTTTGCGATTACTTGTCTTTTCCGAATTTTTGAGTTTGGTTGTTTTCTGTTTAAACTTTGACCCTCACAGGAAGCATGTGTACAATCAAAATTCGGCCAAGGCGCCGACGCTTGCACCAGCAGCAACGCCGGGTCCTGGTCAGGCTTGGAAACATAGGGCAAGATTGGCGAGATGCTCCTACCATTTGCATCCATTTGCGCGCTTTGGAGATGGCTACTGTACATGATTAGAGGAAAGATTTGAAATAATTCACATGATTTCTCATAATTCGAGTCGTTTTGGTGATGGTAAAATCAATTACTTTGAGGCCACGGAAGTCCTGTGATGTTTTGGGTCAGCCACTGCCGACGATTTCCAGGTCTCCAACTGCTGGGCTCTTAGGGATCGGTCTAGATTGCGATGTCACGGCGATGTCCGGCTCGCAGCATGCCGTCAGTATGTTTTTGGTGTTGAGCTTTTGGCATGTTTTGGATTTTTGGTGTTGAGCCAACAACAGAAAACTACCACAAGATATTCAAGATACCATTTCTTTGTATTGTCGCGCAAAAAGCAACCATGTGCCCTGGGCCAACCTTTGTGACACCCTTGTGACACCCTTGCGACGTTTCAGTTTTCGGCTTCAGACGGCTTGCCACGCATTCCAGCAATCTTCCCAGCTATTTTCCACCTATTTTCCAGCTATCTTCCACCATGCGTATGCAGCGTACGCAATGTGCACAGTGGATGCTGTGGTACCGCCTGGTCCTGTTCGCCTGGACCGCAGTCCTCATCGCCGGAGGCGCTGTCGCTTGGAAGTTCATCTCGGAGCGCGGCTTTCATCTTCCAGCGATTCCAGGCGCCATGCCATGAAATGCCATGAAATACCATGTTTCGATCGTATGATGTGCAGCAACTGCCGTATAGATGGTTTCCCCAGAACATCGAGCATCCCAGAACCCAGAACATCCCAGAACATCCTAGAACCTCCCAGAACCCAACTTTCGCACAGTGACACATGTTGATCATGTTGCATGCTGTTGCCGTGCCAGGCAGCCAGTACGACAAAGAGGAGCAGTCGTACCTGGGTTTCTTCGGTGATGGTGTGGATGGGGCTCAGGCTGCGCTGGTGCTTGGCAGTGATTCTCCAGTCATGGCAATGACCAACGTATCTACCTGTCAGATCAAACCAGCTCTGCAACAAGTTGGGAGCACTGGAAACACTTTCCAGTTGGAGTTGTCCTGTCAGAATGAGTCTGCACCTGGCGGTGGATGTATCACATCTTCACAGCTCAGGAGTGAAGTGTACTCGCTGCTGAGCATGTTCATGTCCAACAGGATGTCGCCAGAGAATTTGTCTCACTTCCTCGAGCTACAGGTGGAACCAATGCTGGATGCTGCTCCGGAGATGTTGGCTTGTCCGCATGTTGAGGACACCTTTCAAAAAAACCTGGCAGAAGCATCTTTCCAAGTGGAAGAGTCCCTTCGCCAGAAAATGCCGAACTGCGACTTAGCAGTTCTGTCTTTCTGGTCTCTGCCTCCACAACAGTTTCAGCGCAACTTGACCTTTGCAGAGTTCAAGTTTGAAGTCACGGTCACGCTCCCAGCAGGAAGCTTTTGGAATGTTTTTCAAAAACTGCTCAGCTCCAAAAGCCAAGAACAAGTCATGGTGGCAGTTCGTGCGCACACATGCAACGGCTTGCCAGTTGCTGACTTCTCACAGGAGGCTCTTCAAGTGGCCAACATTCTGAAGGATGTTGCAGAGGCGGCAGAGGGCATCGACGGTACCAACTTGAAAGCCGAAGTGATGTCCTTCGCCATCATCGTGGAAAGTATCAGAGATGGGGTTGAAGTGGTGATGGCCATGTCAACAGGTCGGGCCTGGTAGGGATTTTCAGTTTTCATCAGAAATGCGGCAGCCGAGAAGCTTCACAGAGAAATGCAGCCGTTGTGTAGTTCCAGTGTCTTTTTCAGCCTTGTCAGCTTTATTTTTCCCGAGAGCGCCTGCGAAGGGTTCTTCGTAAAAAAGCAGCCGTTATACTACATCTTCACACCTTCACACCTGCAGATCTAGATCTTCACACCCTCACATCTGCTGATCTACATCTTCACACCCTCACACCTGCTGATCTACATCTTCACACCTTCACACCTGCAGATCTACATCTTCACACCTTCACACCTGCAGATCTACATCTTCACACCTTCGCATCTGCTGATCTACATCTTCACACCCTCACATCTGCAGATCTACATCTTCACACCCTCGCATCTGCTGATCTACATCTTCACACCCTCACACCTGCTGATCTACATCTTCACACCCTCACATCTGCTGATCTACATCTTCACACCTTACATCTGCAGATCTACGTCTTCACACCCTCAAACCTGCAGATCTACATCTTCACACCCTCACACCTGCAGATCTACATCTTCACACCCTCACATCTGCAGATCTACATCTTCACACCCTCGCATCTGCAGATCTACATCTTCACACCTTCACATCTGCAGATCTCCTCTCGCTCTTCTTCTATTCTCTTTCGAAACGCAACCCTTTCGCACGAAATGGACGTTGGACGTCCAAAACCTAGGTAAAATTGCGATTTTGAAGTGTCCATCGCAACCCTTTCGCACGAAATGGACGTTGGACGTCAAAACTGAGGAAAAATTGCGACTTTGAGGTGTCCATCGCAACCCTTTCGCACGAAATGGACGTTGGACGTCAAAAACTGAGGAAAAATTGCGACTTTGAAGCGTCCCCGGCAACCCTTTCGCACGAAATGGACGTTGGACGTCAAAAACTGAGGAAAAATTGCGAGTTTACTTAGTCAATCGCAACCCTTACGCACGAAATGGACGTTGGACGTCAAAAACTGAGGAAAAATTGCGATTGTACTTGGTCAATCGCAACCCTTTCGCACGAAATGGACGTTGGACGTCAAAAACTGGGGAAAAATTGCGATGGACGCTTTCGTTTGTGTAAAAGTGTCTGTGTGTAAACGCCTCTATGTGTATAAGCCTCTGTGTGTAAAAGTGTCTGTGTGTAAAAGCGTCTTTGTCTTGAAGTGTCCGTGAAGCGTCTGTGTGTAAAAGCGTTTGTGTGTGAAAGCGTGTGTGCGTGTGTAAAAAGCATCTGCGTGTAAAAGCGTCTGTGTGTAAAAGCGTCTGTGTGTAAAAGTGTCTGTGTGTAAAACCGTCTGTGTGTGAAAGCGTGTGTGCGTGTGTAAAAAGCATCTGCGTGTAAAAGCGTCTGCGTGTAAAAGCGTCGGTGTGTAAAACCGTCTGTGTGTAAAAGCTTTTGCGTGTAAAAGCGTCTGTGTGTAAAAGCGTCTGTGTGTAAAAGCGTTTGTGTGTAAAGGCTTTTGTGTGTCAAAGCGTCTGTGTGTCAAAGAGTGTTTGTGTAAAAGCACCATGTGTAAAAGCGTCTGTGTGTAAAAGCTTTTTGTGTCGTTTTACCGCACGACATGGAACTGTCAGAGATTGAGGGTGAAAATGCTTGCTAGTGCATCTGTGCTAGGACGTGTGGAGCTCGGTTCGTTTAGCTGAAGGGAGAGTGATGATGCTTGAGCACGTGTAGACATTTCAATTGATTGGAGGGCAATGGCAGCCGAGAGATGTTTGGAGGACAATGGCAGCCGAGAGATGTTACATTTGCGGGCACTGCAACGACTGCGTTGTGAATCTCGAGTATGAGCATCCTGTTGACTGGCTGGAAGATCTTGCTGCGTTCACAGAGATGCTGGAACTAAGGTCGTGTCCGTGGAGGTGCCCAGATAAAGATCGACCGCAGTAGCCGGATTGCTGCAGTAGTAAAAGGGGCAAACATGCCACATCTGCAGCATCATGGTACCGACCTTTGCTTGGAAGCAGCTTGTGGGAGCTGGAAGGCTTGCGTACCAAGTGGCACATGGAACTGAGTGCAACTGGCGCAAATTAATCTGCAGCACTGTTCGTCTGGAGAGACTGTTCGTGACGAACATGCAAAACCAGTAGCCAACTGTTGTTTGTCTGTAAAGATTGTTCCATCCTGTAGGGACATCGGAGAAATGCAGTGAAACAGGTGCCATCCATGCCATCATGATATCGAACTTGCTATTGTGGAATCATTCACAGCATTCTTGCACGGAGTTCTAGATTCTTTTGGATACCATGGTACCGAGCCTTTGCTTGTGCACTTTTGTATTTTTTACGGTTCCATTGCGACTATGTTTGCGCACCTTTGTTTGCAACTGAGGTCATCCACGGCATCATGGTACCGAGCTTATTTTGTATCTCAAAGAGCAGATGCTTTGCATTGGATTGTGCGTTGAACATGAACGGCCCTCCGGAAATGGGCCGCCATTTCTGGGGCCATTTGCACTATGGTACTGAGCCTGGTCTTGTGCGATTTTTTAGCATTTCCATTGCAACTGACTATGTTTGCGCACCTTTGTTTGCAACTGAGGTCGCCCAGTGGTGCCGCGCTTTGTGAGCGTCTGTGTGTAAAAGTCCTTGTGGAAGCGTCTGTGTGTAAAAGCGTTTGTGTGTGAAAGTGTCTGCATGTAAACGTCCCTGTGTGTAAAAGTGTCTGTGTGTAAAAGTGTCTGGGTGTAAAAGCGTCTGTGTGTAAAAGCGTCTGTATGTAAAAGTGTTTGCGTGTAAAAGCGTCCGTGTGTAAAAACGTATATGTGTAAAAGTGTTTGTGTGTAAAAGCGTCTGTGTGTAAAAGGGTCTGTGTGTAAAAGCGTCTGTGTGTAAAAGCGTATGTGTGTAAAAGCTTCTGTGTGGAAAAGTGTCTGTGTATAAAAGTGTCTGTGTGTTAAAGTGTTTGCGTGTAAAAGTGTCTGTGTGGAAATGCGTCTGTGTGTAACGGCTTCTGTGCAAACATTCATCTTTAATGTATTGTCTTGTAATATTGTGTCTCAATACTAACAACAGAAGACCCTGCTCTCTCTCTCCCTCTCTCTCGTCTCCTCCTCTTTCTCTCTCTCCGTCTCTCTCCCTCTCCCTCTCTCTCCCCCTCTCCCTCTCTCTCTCGATCTATGTCTCTCTGTGGTTGCACGTCACGTGTCATACGATGCCCTTTATACCAAGCAGCACAGTGCATGTGTATAGGTTGTCACATGTATCCTCTTCTTAATCAATCTTACTTTTCACAACTTATCCCTCCATAGCTCATATAAAATTCATCAACCATTCACCGAATCTTTTTTACGACTACCATACTCAGAGCTGCTTGAAAAACGTGTTTTTCGCTCTCGGGCCAACCGTCGTCTAGTTTTGTGAAAAGTCTCCATGTCATTTTGGAGTGCGGATTGAATATAGCCGAGTGCTGCTTGAAACCTGCTTGGATGACATGTTTGCTGAATTTCTACTGGTGCAGGTACCCTTCCCCTTGGGATTGCGGTCTTGGCATACATGGTGGGGAACCCGCGCTTGGTGATCATTGCCATCATCAATGTACTAGCTGCCGTCACAGGTTCGGTGCTGGTCATGGAGTGCCTTGTAACCCACCTGATGCCGGTGAGCATTTTCACGCCGCCCTTCTTGATTGCAGTGGTCCTGTCCATGTCCATTGACTATGCCTTGTTTCTTTTGAGCAGATTCCAGAAGGAGACAGCAGCAGGTGCAGCAGCAGCTGAAGCCATGGCTATCAGCCTTTCCACATCTGGCCGTATCGTCGCGCAAGCTGGTGTGATCTTAGCATGCTGCTTTGCCTGCTTACTGATGACGCCAGTGCAACTGGTCAGTGCTATGGGAGCAGGTGGGCTTGTGGCGGTGGCTGTGGCCATGGCGGCCAACCTCACCTTGACCCCAGCTCTGATTTTAGGAACGCGACCCACTTTCTGGATTAGCAAGCCCAATGCACCTTGTCGACCTTGTCGTCAAGCTCCAGAGGGAGATGCTGAAGCACCAGCAGGTGACGAAGAGTTGCATGTTCCCAATGTTTCCATGGGCTTTTGGCGGAGATTTGGGGAGCGGTTGACGAGCTGTGCCAAGCCTCTTCTGTTCTTGATTCTACTCTCTGCAGCCCCTTGCGTTTGGAAGGACTCGATGCCTTCTTCAGACGTGTTGGGTTTCACACCAGCCCTCCCGCGAGGCTCGTCCACAGCCAAAATCTTCCACAGCATTGGTGAAGAGTTTGGATATGAAGTTCTTTTCCCCACAACAATTGGGCTGGTGGCTCCAGCTGAAGTGAACCTGGAAGAATGGAGGCTCCAGGCTTGCAAGGCTTTACAGGAGATTGGGGAAGAGGTGTACAGAAGTGACTTCACGAGTTCAACCTTCATGAGTGAAGTCATCATTGATGGCAAGTGCTTGGCAGTTGATGTTGCTGGAAGTCTGCTGAAGTGGTGGCAAACCAATGGACAGGAAGGTACCGTCGTCTACATCGACTACCCATTGAATCCTTTGTCCATCGATGGACAACGATGGACCAAGAGCTTGCAGAGAGCTGTGGAAGACCATCATCGGGGCAGATGGTATGTGCATGGATATGGTCCACTCTTGTCCAGCCAATGTGGTGAGATTCGCGAGTTCTTTCCATATTTGGTTGTTGCAACGGTTTGCGCGGTCCTTCTCATTTCCATTTGCTTCACACGATCTGTTTTATGGAGCTTGCGGGCCCTCCTTTGCCTGTTCTGGATGTTAGCTGTTCTTTGGCGTTTGTCTTCCCTCGTCTTTCCTGAAGGGCTGTACTACATTGTGCCTTCCATGATGTTGCCCTTCCTGGTGGGTGTGGCCTTGGATTATGACATTTTCTATACTGAGGCAGTCTTGGAAGAATGCAATGGTGGCCTCCCAGTGAAAAAGGCTGGCATCAAAGCGCTTGAGAAGACTGCCAACATCATCACAGCAGCCGGAGTGGTCATGATAATAGCCTTCTGCCCACTCCTGCTTTCTTCAACGTTAGTCTTGAAGCAGATTGGTTTCATGGCAATTGGTGGTTTGTCTATCAGTGCTTTCTGGAACACCAAAGTGGCCATGCCCGTGTGCTTGCACTTCTGCGGGAAGCACAGCTTTTGGCCTCGGAATTTGGAGAAAAAGCAGCGCTGCCAGCAGCCAATTGATGCCATTTTCCTGGGGCACCCTGCCTACCTGGTAGATACGTTTACCTTGTTGACCTCGCCTGACACCGAAAAGCCATGGAGCGCATCGTGGTGGATGTACCTCTTCCTTCCTGTTCTTTGGCTGTTTGGTTTCGTTGGGGCACATATCTTGAGGCGCCTTGGCTTGCCAAATCATCTTGTTTTGGATGACTACGAGTACAACGGCCTTCATGTCCAGACTTGGATGGTTCTGCACTTCGGCCGCCACTTTCGCAACTCTTGGGAACTTCATGATGCTCGACGCAACGTGAGGGCAGCAGCCAGCAGGGCTGAGAAGACCGGCGCCCGGGTGCTAGGATTAGGTGCGCTCAACAAGGCAGAATCTTTGAACCGTGGAGGCCTGGACTTGGTTCAACACTTGCCTTCAAGCCGAAGCATGTGTGTGACTCATGGAGATCATCTCACAGCTGCTGCAGTCGTGGAGAATGTGCTACGGCTGGTCGCAAGGTTTCCTGAGTTTCGGAAGAAAATCTTCATGACCGGAGCCACGGGGAAGACCGGGAAGGCCGTTGCTCTGGCCTTATTGCGCCGCGGTGTCTCCGTGATGTGCCACAGTGGCAGCAAGCAAAGACGAGATGAATTGGAGACTCATGGGCTAGCCACTGCATCCCACCTGCGTGATGGGGCTGACTGCGGCATGTGGATTGTGGGTAAATATGACCAGTTGGTGAACCAAGTCATGCCTCCATCTGCTGTTGCCTGTGTCTTTGCGGTGCCAAATCCAGTTAATCCAGTGTCCCGCTCAGATGTCATGGTATATGATGGTGCCACCATGCAGATTGATGAGTCGCGCTTGAAAGGACGACGAGCAAATCTGAAGCTCTTACGCCAAGAGATTTATGCATGCAATGCAGCCACCCTGCTTCTTGCATCAGGTTCCAAGCAGTTCGATGATTTGGGTGAAGTCGATCCATTGACATTGGAAGCCTACCTGGAGGGGGCTGAATCGATTGGCATCACTCTGAAGCCTCTTGAAGACTTGCATAGTAAGGGGCGGTAGCTCTTAGAATTTTGGGTTGTGACCTTTTTTTTGCATTTTTGTGCTACAGCTACAGCTACCGCGGCGCAGGAGGCCAAAGGGCCTTAAGCCTTAGCGGAATGTGGCTCTCTCACAACAATTTTTCCAGTTGCGCAGCATGCGCAGTGGTTGTACAGCATGCACAGAGGTCATGGGATTGATCGACGCAATAGCAAACCAGACAAACCGAAGACCCCAAGTTTTGATTTCTGATCAAGTTCGATGAATCTCGCTTGAAATGGGCTTGATGAGCCATGAAAGGTTTGCTGTTGTGTCTAAGTCCATGTCATTGCCTAGAGGCTGTGCCAACGCCCGTTTTGAGGGTTGAAAAGAAGTGTGCTTGATGTGCCAATCCCTGGTCCAATCGTGTTGGGTTGCCACCCTGGTTTCGTCCCCTACAGACGTTTTTATTGAAATCCTGCTTCAGGTTCAAGATCGAAGCGTCCTTTGACCGGGAAAACTGGTGGCGAAAAAAATGGTGCGTTCGAAGGTGCGGCGGTGGGGGGGCATTGAGAGCTGGAGAGCTTGCATTCGTTGGAGGCATCAGGCCCACGCCTTGCCCCTGAAACTCCAGTGAAACTGACTGTCCGACGGAGTTCTTGCCGTTCCGGACGATTCAGTCCAGGGTTGGAGTGTTTGCTTTACCCCTGTCATTCCGGTGGCAAAGAACTTGTGAAGTTTTGAGTTGCGAGCAATGAAGAAGATCCCATTGAAAAACCACCGGAAGTTTGATGCTTTTGCTTGAACTTATCTTTGCAATCACGTTGGTGGAGGTCATGAAAATTGCAGCCACACGGGTCGCTCGAGCACAGGACTTGCAGTTGACATAGAGATATATGTGTGCGGTGTTTTTGTTCCGAATGTGTTTCCTTGCATGAGTTTCCTTGCATGTGCCCAACGAGTCTATCAGTCTATCAAACTACGCACATGTTTGCCGGTCGGTCCGTTCGGTTTTGCTAATTTGAATGTAGATCATGGTTTTCACCCAATTGCACGCAGCCTTGCCCACAGTGTTGTTTGGGCAGGATGATCTGCGCAGCTTTTTCGACGGAGCACTCCAGACCAAGGAAGGGATTGTGGAACTGCCCTGCGCCGCACCGGAAGAGGACCAATCATTGACCAACGTCTCCGACTTTCCAACCATTCTGATAGTCCTTGTCCTTTTGGAAAGGGGGGTGGAAAGATGTGAAAAGTAGCATGAAAGTATCATAAGTCATAAACCAACAAAATATCAGCAGAAGACCATCCAAGACTCCGCAGATGCTTCCTGCAGGAAGTCCAAATCCATGGCCTGCAAGACAGAGAGCGTTGAGCGCCGGGGCGCCTTGGATGGATGCAGCGCCAGTTCAAAGTTGCTTTTTTTTAAAGTCTGTGATGATTTTGTGATGATTTTGATGCCGTTGCTTTCAGTTTGAACGCTTTGCGCTTCAAAAAATGATATGAAAGCCATTCATCATGGGGAAGTTTCATGACATCATGCATCATAGCACAGCTTCACATGCGACCATGAAACCCAGCGTGGTTACAACGGCGCAACGACATTCAGCCAGGTTCGCACAGCGACACGTGTGTCTTTGCAAAGCTATGTTCGTTGCTCTTACAGATGCCATGTACATGGATGCAGGGTTGAAACAGCGTGCACTTCAACACTGGGGGTCTTGAAAAACAAGGGAAATTTACACAGGCTTAGTCTCCCTGTATATGTAACTGATGCAAAAGTGAACAGTGACAAGTCTTTAGGGGCAGGGTAACGTGTGGTTGAGCATGGATGCAAGAATGACCAGATAGTACCGCAGCGATAATTATATTCTTCTGAGAAGCAACGTTGCCTTCGTTGCCTTTGACGGACCTTCCTGCTGAGCCCATGCAATTTTCACAGATGCAAGAGCGATAGATGTTCTGCGTGTGTGTGAATTAAGTTTTGCAAGTAGCAAGGGCATGTCAGTGCTGCGGGGGAATGGGTGTATACCGTATACCAGTGTTTGACAGTAGAACAGCTGCGCCAGGGAGAAATTAGCCTGGCGCTTTTACAATTATGGGCTGTACCATTCCAGCTGGATGTTTACTGTCAAACTGTTGGCATTTGTTGGCATGTGGGGTTTGGGGGAGTCACTTGTTTCAAGCACATGTGCAAATGTTTGATTGGCCCATCTAGCATCCAAAAACGTCACCATACGTTCGGACAGTGTTGGACACCTCTGTTGGACGTTGGACACAGAGCCCTTAACCAGGATGATTTCTGCGCGTGTGAAAAACAGCCTCTTTGAGATTGGGCTCTTAGGATGTTGCCTTCGGGGAAACTGCCAATGCGCCTGCCTCACGCCCCAGGCTGGGGTATATCCTGGGATCACAAACGGAGATTGCGGTTTTGGAAGTAGCTTCTCCCATCGCTTTTCAGCTTTTCCATGAGATATCCGGAATTTACATGAATTTGTCACTATCTACGGTAGCGCATGTCCAACCGTCCAACCCTGCTTGACAGTGGCACAATGTGGCACATGTTGTTCAACCTGATTCTGCCAGGTCGAAACCCTCATCGGACACGGACAGGCGGGTCATGAGTTGCGTGTACCAGGCCGAAAGTCTGACATCAGTGAAAACTACAGCACATGGGGATGAATTTCAAAGAGGCTTGGAAAGCTGTTTTGCGATTACTTGTCTTTTCCGAATTTTTGAGTTTGGTTGTTTTCTGTTTAAACTTTGACCCTCACAGGAAGCATGTGTACAATCAAAATTCGGCCAAGGCGCCGACGCTTGCACCAGCAGCAACGCCGGGTCCTGGTCAGGCTTGGAAACATAGGGCAAGATTGGCGAGATGCTCCTACCATTTGCATCCATTTGCGCGCTTTGGAGATGGCTACTGTACATGATTAGAGGAAAGATTTGAAATAATTCACATGATTTCTCATAATTCGAGTCGTTTTGGTGATGGTAAAATCAATTACTTTGAGGCCACGGAAGTCCTGTGATGTTTTGGGTCAGCCACTGCCGACGATTTCCAGGTCTCCAACTGCTGGGCTCTTAGGGATCGGTCTAGATTGCGATGTCACGGCGATGTCCGGCTCGCAGCATGCCGTCAGTATGTTTTTGGTGTTGAGCTTTTGGCATGTTTTGGATTTTTGGTGTTGAGCCAACAACAGAAAACTACCACAAGATATTCAAGATACCATTTCTTTGTATTCGTCGCGCAAAAAGCAACCATGTGCCCTGGGCCAACCTTTGTGACACCCTTGTGACACCCTTGCGACGTTTCAGTTTTCGGCTTCAGACGGCTTGCCACGCATTCCAGCAATCTTCCCAGCTATTTTCCACCTATTTTCCAGCTATCTTCCACCATGCGTATGCAGCGTACGCAATGTGCACAGTGGATGCTGTGGTACCGCCTGGTCCTGTTCGCCTGGACCGCAGTCCTCATCGCCGGAGGCGCTGTCGCCTGGAAATTCATCTCGGAGCGCGGCTTTCATCTTCCAGCGATTCCAGGCGCCATGCCATGAAATGCCATGAAATGCCATGAAAACCATGTTTCGATCGTATGATGTGCAGCAACTGCCGTATAGATGGTTTCCCCAGAACATCGAGCATCCCAGAACATCCCAGAACATCCTAGAACCTCCCAGAACCCAACTTTCGCACAGTGACACATGTTGATCATGTTGCATGCTGTTGCCGTGCCAGGCAGCCAGTACGACAAAGAGGAGCAGTCGTACCTGGGTTTCTTCGGTGATGGTGTGGATGGGGCTCAGGCTGCGCTGGTGCTTGGCAGTGATTCTCCAGTCATGGCGATGACCAACGTATCTACCTGTCAGATCAAACCAGCTCTGCAACAAGTTGGGAGCACTGGAAACACTTTCCAGTTGGAGTTGTCCTGTCAGAATGAGTCTGCACCTGGCGGTGGATGTATCACATCTTCACAACTCAGAAGTGAAGTGTACTCGCTGGTGAGCATGTTCATGTCCAACATGATGTCGCCAGAGAATTTGTCTCACTTCCTCGAGCTACAGGTGGAACCAATGCTGGATGCTGCTCCGGAGATGTTGGCTTGTCCGCATGTTGAGGACACCTTTCAAAAAAACCTGGCAGAAGCATCTTTCCAAGTGGAAGAGTCCCTTCGCCAGAAAATGCCGAACTGCGACTTAGCAGTTCTGTCTTTCTGGTCTCTGCCTCCTCAACAGTTTCAGCGCAACTTGACCTTTGCAGAGTTCAAGTTTGAAGTCACGGTCACGCTCCCAGCAGGAAGCTTTTGGAATGTTTTTCAAAAACTGCTCAGCTCCAAAAGCCAAGAACAAGTCATGGTGGCAGTTCGTGCGCACACATGCAACGGCTTGCCAGTTGCTGACTTCTCACAGGAGGCTCTTCAAGTGGCCAACATTCTGAAGGATGTTGCAGAGGCGGCAGAGGGCATCGACGGTACCAACTTGAAAGCCGAAGTGATGTCCTTCGCCATCATCGTGGAAAGTATCAGAGATGGGGTTGAAGTGGTGATGGCCATGTCAACAGGTCGGGCCTGGTAGGGATTTTCAGTTTTCATCAGAAATGCGGCAGCCGAGAAGCTTCACAGAGAAATGCAGCCGTTGTGTAGTTCCAGTGTCTTTTTCAGCCTTTTCAGCTTTATTTTTTTGTGAAAAGTCTCCATGTCATTTTGGAGTGCGGATTGAATATAGCCGAGTGCTGCTTGAAACCTGCTTGGATGACATGTTTGCTGAATTTCTACTGGTGCAGGTACCCTTCCCCTTGGGATTGCGGTCTTGGCATACATGGTGGGGAACCCGCGCTTGGTGATCATTGCCATCATCAATGTACTAGCTGCCGTCACAGGTTCGGTGCTGGTCATGGAGTGCCTTGTAACCCACCTGATGCCGGTGAGCATTTTCACGCCTCCCTTCTTGATTGCAGTGGTCCTGTCCATGTCCATTGACTATGCCTTGTTTCTTTTGAGCAGATTTGAGAAGGAGACAGCAGCAGGTGCAGCAGCAGCTGAAGCCATGGCTATCAGCCTTTCCACATCTGGCCGTATCGTCGCGCAAGCTGGTGTGATCTTGGCATGCTGCTTTGCCTGCTTACTGATGACGCCAGTGCAACTGGTCAGTGCCATGGGAGCAGGTGGGCTTGTGGCGGTGGCTGTGGCCATGGCGGCCAACCTCACCTTGACCCCAGCTCTGATTTTAGGAACGCGACCCACTTTCTGGATTAGCAAGCCCAATGCACCTTGTCGACCTTGTCGTCAAGCTCCAGAGGGAGATGCTGAAGCACCAGCAGGTGACGAAGAGTTGCATGTTCCCAATGTTTCCATGGGCTTTTGGCGGAGATTTGGGGAGCGGTTGACGAGCTGTGCCAAGCCTCTTCTGTTCTTGATTCTACTCTCTGCAGCCCCTTGCGTTTGGAAGGACTCGATGCCTTATTCAGACATGTTGGGTTTCACACCAGCCCTCCCACAAGGCTCGTCCACAGCCAAAATCTTCCACAGCATTGGTGAAGAGTTTGGATATGAAGTTCTTTTCCCCACAACAATTGGGCTGGTGGCTCCAGCTGAAGTGAACCTGGAAGAATGGAGGCTCCAGGCTTGCAAGGCTTTACAGGAGATTGGGGAAGAGGTGTACAGAAGTGACTTCACGAGTTCAACCTTCATGAGTGAAGTCATCATTGATGGCAAGTGCTTGGCAGTTGATGTTGCTGGAAGTCTGCTGAAGTGGTGGCAAACTAATGGACAGGAAGGTACCGTCGTCTACATCGACTACCCATTGAATCCTTTGTCCATCGATGGACAACGATGGACCAAGAGCTTGCAGAGAGCTGTGGAAGACCATCATCGGGGCAGATGGTATGTGCATGGATATGGTCCACTCTTGTCCAGCCAATGTGGTGAGATTCGCGAGTTCTTTCCATATTTGGTTGTTGCAACGGTTTGCGCGGTCCTTCTCATTTCCATTTGCTTCACACGATCTGTTTTATGGAGCTTGCGGGCCCTCCTTTGCCTGTTCTGGATGTTAGCTGTTCTTTGGTGTTTGTCCTCCCTCGTCTTTCCTGAAGGGCTATACTACATTGTGCCTTCCATGATGTTGCCCTTCCTGGTGGGTGTGGCCTTGGATTATGACATTTTCTATACTGAGGCAGTCTTAGAAGAATGCAATGGTGGCCTCCCAGTGACGAAAAAGGCTGGCATCAAAGCGCTTGAGAAGACTGCCAACATCATCACAGCAGCCGGAGTGGTCATGATAATAGCCTTCTGCCCACTCCTGCTTTCTTCAACGTTAGTCTTGAAGCAGATTGGTTTCATGGCAATTGGTGGTTTGTCTATCAGTGCTTTCTGGAACACCAAAGTGGCCATGCCCGTGTGCTTGCACTTCTTCGGGAAGCACAGCTTTTGGCCTCGGAATTTGGAGAAAAAGCAGCGCTGCCAGCAGCCAATTGATGCCATTTTCCTGGGGCACCCTGCCTACCTGGTAGATACGTTTACCTTGTTGACCTCGCCTGACACCGAAAAGCCATGGAGCGCATCGTGGTGGATGTACCTCTTCCTTCCTGTTCTTTGGCTGTTTGGTTTCGTTGGGGCACATATCTTGAGGCGCCTTGGCTTGCCAAATCATCTTGTTTTGGATGACTACGAGTACAACGGCCTTCATGTCCAGACTTGGATGGTTCTGCACTTCGGCCGCCACTTTCGCAACTCTTGGGAACTTCATGATGCTCGACGCAACGTGAGGGCAGCAGCCAGCAGGGCTGAGAAGACCGGCGCCCGGGTGCTAGGATTAGGTGCGCTCAACAAGGCAGAATCTTTGAACCGTGGAGGCCTGGACTTGGTTCAACACTTGCCTTCAAGCCGAAGCATGTGTGTGACTCATGGAGATCATCTCACAGCTGCTGCAGTCGTGGAGAATGTGCTACGGCTGGTCGCAAGGTTTCCTGAGTTTCGGAAGAAAATCTTCATGACCGGAGCCACGGGGAAGACCGGGAAGGCCGTTGCTCTGGCCTTATTGCGCCGCGGTGTCTCCGTGATGTGCCACAGTGGCAGCAAGCAAAGACGAGATGAATTGGAGACTCATGGGCTAGCCACTGCATCCCACCTGCGTGATGGGGCTGACTGCGGCATGTGGATTGTGGGTAAATATGACCAGTTGGTGAACCAAGTCATGCCTCCATCTGCTGTTGCCTGTGTCTTTGCGGTGCCAAATCCAGTTAATCCAGTTTCCCGCTCAGATGTCATGGTATATGATGGTGCCACCATGCAGATTGATGAGTCGCGCTTGAAAGGACAACGAGCAAATCTGAAGCTCTTACGCCAAGAGATTTATGCATGCAATGCAGCCACCCTGCTTCTTGCATCAGGTTCCAAGCAGTTCGATGATTTGGGTGAAGTCGATCCATTGACATTGGAAGCCTACCTGGAGGGGGCTGAATCGATTGGCATCACTCTGAAGCCTCTTGAAGACTTGCATAGTAAGGGGCGGTAGCTCTTAGAATTTTGGGTTGTGACCTTTTTTTTTGCATTTTTGTGCTACAGCTACAGCTACCGCGGCGCAGGAGGCCAAAGGGCCTTAAGCCTTAGCGGAATGTGGCTCTCTCACAACAATTTTTCCAGTTGCGCAGCATGCGCAGTGGTTGTACAGCATGCACAGAGGTCATGGGATTGATCGACGCAATAGCAAACCAGACAAACCGAAGACCCCAAGTTTTGATTTCTGATCAAGTTCGATGAATCTCGCTTGAAATGGGCTTGATGAGCCATGAAAGGTTTGCTGTTGTGTCTAAGTCCATGTCATTGCCTAGAGGATGTGCCAACGCCCGTTTTGAGGGTTGAAAAGAAGTGTGCTTGATGTGCCAATCCCTGGTCCAATCGTGTTGGGTTGCCACCCTGGTTTCGTCCCCTACAGACGTTTTTATTGAAATCCTGCTTCAGGTTCAAGATCGAAGCGTCCTTTGACCGGGAAAACTGGTGGCGAAAAAAATGGTGCGTTCGAAGGTGCGGCGGTGGTGGGGCATTGAGAGCTGGAGAGCTTGCATTCGTTGGAGGCATCAGGCCCACGCCTTGCCCCTGAAACTCCAGTGAAACTGACTGTCCGACGGAGTTCTTGCCGTTCCGGACGATTCAGTCCAGGGTTGGAGTGTTTGCTTTACCCCTGTCATTCCGGTGGCAAAGAACTTGTGAAGTTTTGAGTTGCGAGCAATGAAGAAGATCCCATTGAAAAACCACCGGAAGTTTGATGCTTTTGCTTGAACTTATCTTTGCAATCACGTTGGTGGAGGTCATGAAAATTGCAGCCACACGGGTCGCTCGAGCACAGGACTTGCAGTTGACATAGAGATATATGTGTGCGGTGTTTTTGTTCCGAATGTGTTTCCTTGCATGAGTTTCCTTGCATGTGCCCAACGAGTCTATCAGTCTATCAAACTACGCACATGTTTGCCGGTCGGTCCGTTCGGTTTTGCTAATTTGAATGTAGATCATGGTTTTCACCCAATTGCACGCAGCCTTGCCCACAGTGTTGTTTGGGCAGGATGATCTGCGCAGCTTTTTCGACGGAGCACTCCAGACCAAGGAAGGGATTGTGGAACTGCCCTGCGCCGCACCGGAAGAGGACCAATCATTGACCAACGTCTCCGACTTTCCAACCATTCTGATAGTCCTTGTCCTTTTGGAAAGGGGGGTGGAAAGATGTGAAAAGTAGCATGAAAGTATCATAAGTCATAAACCAACAAAATATCAGCAGAAGACCATCCAAGACTCCGCAGATGCTTCCTGCAGGAAGTCCAAATCCATGGCCTGCAAGACAGAGAGCGTTGAGCGCCGGGGCGCCTTGGATGGATGCAGCGCCAGTTCAAAGTTGCTTTTTTTTTTAAAGTCTGTGATGATTTTGTGATGATTTTGATGCCGTTGCTTTCAGTTTGAACGCTTTGCGCTTCAAAAAATGATATGAAAGCCATTCATCATGGGGAAGTTTCATGACATCATGCATCATAGCACAGCTTCACATGCGACCATGAAACCCAGCGTGGTTACAACGGCGCAACGACATTCAGCCAGGTTCGCACAGCGACACGTGTGTCTTTGCAAAGCTATGTTCGTTGCTCTTACAGATGCCATGTACATGGATGCAGGGTTGAAACAGCGTGCACTTCAACACTGGGGGTCTTGAAAAACAAGGGAAATTTACACAGGCTTAGTCTCCCTGTATATGTAACTGATGCAAAAGTGAACAGTGACAAGTCTTTAGGGGCAGGGTAACGTGTGGTTGAGCATGGATGCAAGAATGACCAGATAGTACCGCAGCGATAATTATATTCTTCTGAGAAGCAACGTTGCCTTCGTTGCCTTTGACGGACCTTCCTGCTGAGCCCATGCAATTTTCACAGATGCAAGAGCGATAGATGTTCTGCGTGTGTGTGAATTAAGTTTTGCAAGTAGCAAGGGCATTTCAGTGCTGCGGGGGAATGGGTGTATACCGTATACCAGTGTTTGACAGTAGAACAGCTGCGCCAGGGAGAAATTAGCCTGGCGCTTTTACAATTATGGGCTGCACCATTCCAGCTGGATGTTTACTGTCAAACTGTTGGCATTTGTTGGCATGTGGGGTTTGGGGGAGTCACTTGTTTCAAGCACATGTGCAAATGTTTGATTGGCCCATCTAGCATCCAAAAACGTCACCATACGTTCGAACAGTGTTGGACACCTCTGTTGGACGTTGGACACAGAGCCCTTAACCAGGATGATTTCTGCGCGTGTGAAAAACAGCCTCTTTGAGATTGGGCTCTTAGGATGTTGCCTTCGGGCAAACTGCCAATGCGCCTGCCTCACGCCAGGCTGGGGTATAGCCTGGGATCACAAACGGAGATTGCGGTTTTGGAAGTAGCTTCTCCCATCGCTTTTCAGCTTTTCCATGAGATATCCGGAATTTACATGAATTTGTCACTATCTACGGTAGCGCATGTCCAACCGTCCAACCCTGCTTGACAGTGGCACAATGTGGCACATGTTGTTCAACCTGATTCTGCCAGGTTGAAACCCTCATCAGACACGGACAGGCGGGTCATGAGTTGCGTGTACCAGGCCGAAAGTCTGACATCAGTGAAAACTACAGCACATGGGGATGAATTTCAAAGAGGCTTGGAAAGCTGTTTTGCGATTACTTGTCTTTTCCGAATTTTTGAGTTTGGTTGTTTTCTGTTTAAACTTTGACCCTCACAGGAAGCATGTGTACAATCAAAATTCGGCCAAGGCGCCGACGCTTGCACCAGCAGCAACGCCGGGTCCTGGTCAGGCTTGGAAACATAGGGCAAGATTGGCGAGATGCTCCTACCATTTGCATCCATTTGCGCGCTTTGGAGATGGCTACTGTACATGATTAGAGGAAAGATTTGAAATAATTCACATGATTTCTCATAATTCGAGTCGTTTTGGTGATGGTAAAATCAATTACTTTGAGGCCACGGAAGTCCTGTGATGTTTTGGGTCAGCCACTGCCGACGATTTCCAGGTCTCCAACTGCTGGGCTCTTAGGGATCGGTCTAGATTGCGATGTCACGGCGATGTCCGGCTCGCAGCATGCCGTCAGTATGTTTTTGGTGTTGAGCTTTTGGCATGTTTTGGATTTTTGGTGTTGAGCCAACAACAGAAAACTACCACAAGATATTCAAGATACCATTTCTTTGTATCGTCGCGCAAAAGCAACCATGTGCCCTGGGCCAACCTTTGTGACACCCTTGTGACACCCTTGCGACGTTTCAGTTTTCGGCTTCAGACGGCTTGCCACGCATTCCAGCAATCTTCCCAGCTATTTTCCACCTATTTTCCAGCTATCTTCCACCATGCGTATGCAGCGTACGCAATGTGCACAGTGGATGCTGTGGTACCGCCTGGTCCTGTTCGCCTGGACCGCAGTCCTCATCGCCGGAGGCGCTGTCGCCTGGAAATTCATCTCGGAGCGCGGCTTTCATCTTCCAGCGATTCCAGGCGCCATGCCATGAAATGCCATGAAATGCCATGAAAACCATGTTTCGATCGTATGATGTGCAGCAACTGCCGTATAGATGGTTTCCCCAGAACATCGAGCATCCCAGAACATCCCAGAACATCCTAGAACCTCCCAGAACCCAACTTTCGCACAGTGACACATGTTGATCATGTTGCATGCTGTTGCCGTGCCAGGCAGTCAGTACGACAAAGAGGAGCAGTCGTACCTGGGTTTCTTCGGTGATGGTGTGGATGGGGCTCAGGCTGCGCTGGTGCTTGGCAGTGATTCTCCAGTCATGGCAATGACCAACGTATCTACCTGTCAGATCAAACCAGCTCTGCAACAAGTTGGGAGCACTGGAAACACTTTCCAGTTGGAGTTGTCCTGTCAGAATGAGTCTGCACCTGGCGGTGGATGTATCACATCTTCACAGCTCAGGAGTGAAGTGTACTCGCTGCTGAGCATGTTCATGTCCAACAGGATGTCGCCAGAGAATTTGTCTCACTTCCTCGAGCTACAGGTGGAACCAATGCTGGATGCTGCTCCGGAGATGTTGGCTTGTCCGCATGTTGAGGACACCTTTCAAAAAAACCTGGCAGAAGCATCTTTCCAAGTGGAAGAGTCCCTTCGCCAGAAAATGCCGAACTGCGACTTAGCAGTTCTGTCTTTCTGGTCTCTGCCTCCACAACAGTTTCAGCGCAACTTGACCTTTGCAGAGTTCAAGTTTGAAGTCACGGTCACGCTCCCAGCAGGAAGCTTTTGGAATGTTTTTCAAAAACTGCTCAGCTCCAAAAGCCAAGAACAAGTCATGGTGGCAGTTCGTGCGCACACATGCAACGGCTTGCCAGTTGCTGACTTCTCACAGGAGGCTCTTCAAGTGGCCAACATTCTGAAGGATGTTGCAGAGGCGGCAGAGGGCATCGACGGTACCAACTTGAAAGCCGAAGTGATGTCCTTCGCCATCATCGTGGAAAGTATCAGAGATGGGGTTGAAGTGGTGATGGCCATGTCAACAGGTCGGGCCTGGTAGGGATTTTCAGTTTTCATCAGAAATGCGGCAGCCGAGAAGCTTCACAGAGAAATGCAGCCGTTGTGTAGTTCCAGTGTCTTTTTCAGCCTTTTCAGCTTTATTTTTTTGTGAAAAGTCTCCATGTCATTTTGGAGTGCGGATTGAATATAGCCGAGTGCTGCTTGAAACCTGCTTGGATGACATGTTTGCTGAATTTCTACTGGTGCAGGTACCCTTCCCCTTGGGATTGCGGTCTTGGCATACATGGTGGGGAACCCGCGCTTGGTGATCATTGCCATCATCAATGTACTAGCTGCCGTCACAGGTTCGGTGCTGGTCATGGAGTGCCTTGTAACCCACCTGATGCCGGTGAGCATTTTCACGCCTCCCTTCTTGATTGCAGTGGTCCTGTCCATGTCCATTGACTATGCCTTGTTTCTTTTGAGCAGATTTGAGAAGGAGACAGCAGCAGGTGCAGCAGCAGCTGAAGCCATGGCTATCAGCCTTTCCACATCTGGCCGTATCGTCGCGCAAGCTGGTGTGATCTTGGCATGCTGCTTTGCCTGCTTACTGATGACGCCAGTGCAACTGGTCAGTGCCATGGGAGCAGGTGGGCTTGTGGCGGTGGCTGTGGCCATGGCGGCCAACCTCACCTTGACCCCAGCTCTGATTTTAGGAACGCGACCCACTTTCTGGATTAGCAAGCCCAATGCACCTTGTCGACCTTGTCGTCAAGCTCCAGAGGGAGATGCTGAAGCACCAGCAGGTGACGAAGAGTTGCATGTTCCCAATGTTTCCATGGGCTTTTGGCGGAGATTTGGGGAGCGGTTGACGAGCTGTGCCAAGCCTCTTCTGTTCTTGATTCTACTCTCTGCAGCCCCTTGCGTTTGGAAGGACTCGATGCCTTCTTCAGACATGTTGGGTTTCACACCAGCCCTCCCACAAGGCTCGTCCACAGCCAAAATCTTCCACAGCATTGGTGAAGAGTTTGGATATGAAGTTCTTTTCCCCACAACAATTGGGCTGGTGGCTCCAGCTGAAGTGAACCTGGAAGAATGGAGGCTCCAGGCTTGCAAGGCTTTACAGGAGATTGGGGAAGAGGTGTACAGAAGTGACTTCACGAGTTCAACCTTCATGAGTGAAGTCATCATTGATGGCAAGTGCTTGGCAGTTGATGTTGCTGGAAGTCTGCTGAAGTGGTGGCAAACTAATGGACAGGAAGGTACCGTCGTCTACATCGACTACCCATTGAATCCTTTGTCCATCGATGGACAACGATGGACCAAGAGCTTGCAGAGAGCTGTGGAAGACCATCATCGGGGCAGATGGTATGTGCATGGATATGGTCCACTCTTGTCCAGCCAATGTGGTGAGATTCGCGAGTTCTTTCCATATTTGGTTGTTGCAACGGTTTGCGCGGTCCTTCTCATTTCCATTTGCTTCACACGATCTGTTTTATGGAGCTTGCGGGCCCTCCTTTGCCTGTTCTGGATGTTAGCTGTTCTTTGGTGTTTGTCCTCCCTCGTCTTTCCTGAAGGGCTATACTACATTGTGCCTTCCATGATGTTGCCCTTCCTGGTGGGTGTGGCCTTGGATTATGACATTTTCTATACTGAGGCAGTCTTAGAAGAATGCAATGGTGGCCTCCCAGTGACGAAAAAGGCTGGCATCAAAGCGCTTGAGAAGACTGCCAACATCATCACAGCAGCCGGAGTGGTCATGATAATAGCCTTCTGCCCACTCCTGCTTTCTTCAACGTTAGTCTTGAAGCAGATTGGTTTCATGGCAATTGGTGGTTTGTCTATCAGTGCTTTCTGGAACACCAAAGTGGCCATGCCCGTGTGCTTGCACTTCTTCGGGAAGCACAGCTTTTGGCCTCGGAATTTGGAGAAAAAGCAGCGCTGCCAGCAGCCAATTGATGCCATTTTCCTGGGGCACCCTGCCTACCTGGTAGATACGTTTACCTTGTTGACCTCGCCTGACACCGAAAAGCCATGGAGCGCATCGTGGTGGATGTACCTCTTCCTTCCTGTTCTTTGGCTGTTTGGTTTCGTTGGGGCACATATCTTGAGGCGCCTTGGCTTGCCAAATCATCTTGTTTTGGATGACTACGAGTACAACGGCCTTCATGTCCAGACTTGGATGGTTCTGCACTTCGGCCGCCACTTTCGCAACTCTTTGGAACTTCATGATGCTCGACGCAACGTGAGGGCAGCAGCCAGCAGGGCTGAGAAGACCGGCGCCCGGGTGCTAGGATTAGGTGCGCTCAACAAGGCAGAATCTTTGAACCGTGGAGGCCTGGACTTGGTTCAACACTTGCCTTCAAGCCGAAGCATGTGTGTGACTCATGGAGATCATCTCACAGCTGCTGCAGTCGTGGAGAATGTGCTACGGCTGGTCGCAAGGTTTCCTGAGTTTCGGAAGAAAATCTTCATGACCGGAGCCACGGGGAAGACCGGGAAGGCCGTTGCTCTGGCCTTATTGCGCCGCGGTGTCTCCGTGATGTGCCACAGTGGCAGCAAGCAAAGACGAGATGAATTGGAGACTCATGGGCTAGCCACTGCATCCCACCTGCGTGATGGGGCTGACTGCGGCATGTGGATTGTGGGTAAATATGACCAGTTGGTGAACCAAGTCATGCCTCCATCTGCTGTTGCCTGTGTCTTTGCGGTGCCAAATCCAGTTAATCCAGTGTCCCGCTCAGATGTCATGGTATATGATGGTGCCACCATGCAGATTGATGAGTCGCGCTTGAAAGGACGACGAGCAAATCTGAAGCTCTTACGCCAAGAGATTTATGCATGCAATGCAGCCACCCTGCTTCTTGCATCAGGTTCCAAGCAGTTCGATGATTTGGGTGAAGTCGATCCATTGACATTGGAAGCCTACCTGGAGGGGGCTGAATCGATTGGCATCACTCTGAAGCCTCTTGAAGACTTGCATAGTAAGGGGCGGTAGCTCTTAGAATTTTGGGTTGTGACCTTTTTTTTGCATTTTTGTGCTACAGCTACAGCTACCGCGGCGCAGGAGGCCAAAGGGCCTTAAGCCTTAGCGGAATGTGGCTCTCTCACAACAATTTTTCCAGTTGCGCAGCATGCGCAGTGGTTGTACAGCATGCACAGAGGTCATGGGATTGATCGACGCAATAGCAAACCAGACAAACCGAAGACCCCAAGTTTTGATTTCTGATCAAGTTCGATGAATCTCGCTTGAAATGGGCTTGATGAGCCATGAAAGGTTTGCTGTTGTGTCTAAGTCCATGTCATTGCCTAGAGGCTGTGCCAACGCCCGTTTTGAGGGTTGAAAAGAAGTGTGCTTGATGTGCCAATCCCTGGTCCAATCGTGTTGGGTTGCCACCCTGGTTTCGTCCCCTACAGACGTTTTTATTGAAATCCTGCTTCAGGTTCAAGATCGAAGCGTCCTTTGACCGGGAAAACTGGTGGCGAAAAAAATGGTGCGTTCGAAGGTGCGGCGGTGGTGGGGCATTGAGAGCTGGAGAGCTTGCATTCGTTGGAGGCATCAGGCCCACGCCTTGCCCCTGAAACTCCAGTGAAACTGACTGTCCGACGGAGTTCTTGCCGTTCCGGACGATTCAGTCCAGGGTTGGAGTGTTTGCTTTACCCCTGTCATTCCGGTGGCAAAGAACTTGTGAAGTTTTGAGTTGCGAGCAATGAAGAAGATCCCATTGAAAAACCACCGGAAGTTTGATGCTTTTGCTTGAACTTATCTTTGCAATCACGTTGGTGGAGGTCATGAAAATTGCAGCCACACGGGTCGCTCGAGCACAGGACTTGCAGTTGACATAGAGATATATGTGTGCGGTGTTTTTGTTCCGAATGTGTTTCCTTGCATGAGTTTCCTTGCATGTGCCCAACGAGTCTATCAGTCTATCAAACTACGCACATGTTTGCCGGTCGGTCCGTTCGGTTTTGCTAATTTGAATGTAGATCATGGTTTTCACCCAATTGCACGCAGCCTTGCCCACAGTGTTGTTTGGGCAGGATGATCTGCGCAGCTTTTTCGACGGAGCACTCCAGACCAAGGAAGGGATTGTGGAACTGCCCTGCGCCGCACCGGAAGAGGACCAATCATTGACCAACGTCTCCGACTTTCCAACCATTCTGATAGTCCTTGTCCTTTTGGAAAGGGGGGTGGAAAGATGTGAAAAGTAGCATGAAAGTATCATAAGTCATAAACCAACAAAATATCAGCAGAAGACCATCCAAGACTCCGCAGATGCTTCCTGCAGGAAGTCCAAATCCATGGCCTGCAAGACAGAGAGCGTTGAGCGCCGGGGCGCCTTGGATGGATGCAGCGCCAGTTCAAAGTTGCTTTTTTTTTTAAAGTCTGTGATGATTTTGTGATGATTTTGATGCCGTTGCTTTCAGTTTGAACGCTTTGCGCTTCAAAAAATGATATGAAAGCCATTCATCATGGGGAAGTTTCATGACATCATGCATCATAGCACAGCTTCACATGCGACCATGAAACCCAGCGTGGTTACAACGGCGCAACGACATTCAGCCAGGTTCGCACAGCGACACGTGTGTCTTTGCAAAGCTATGTTCGTTGCTCTTACAGATGCCATGTACATGGATGCAGGGTTGAAACAGCGTGCACTTCAACACTGGGGGTCTTGAAAAACAAGGGAAATTTACACAGGCTTAGTCTCCCTGTATATGTAACTGATGCAAAAGTGAACAGTGACAAGTCTTTAGGGGCAGGGTAACGTGTGGTTGAGCATGGATGCAAGAATGACCAGATAGTACCGCAGCGATAATTATATTCTTCTGAGAAGCAACGTTGCCTTCGTTGCCTTTGACGGACCTTCCTGCTGAGCCCATGCAATTTTCACAGATGCAAGAGCGATAGATGTTCTGCGTGTGTGTGAATTAAGTTTTGCAAGTAGCAAGGGCATTTCAGTGCTGCGGGGGAATGGGTGTATACCGTATACCAGTGTTTGACAGTAGAACAGCTGCGCCAGGGAGAAATTAGCCTGGCGCTTTTACAATTATGGGCTGCACCATTCCAGCTGGATGTTTACTGTCAAACTGTTGGCATTTGTTGGCATGTGGGGTTTGGGGGAGTCACTTGTTTCAAGCACATGTGCAAATGTTTGATTGGCCCATCTAGCATCCAAAAACGTCACCATACGTTCGAACAGTGTTGGACACCTCTGTTGGACGTTGGACACAGAGCCCTTAACCAGGATGATTTCTGCGCGTGTGAAAAACAGCCTCTTTGAGATTGGGCTCTTAGGATGTTGCCTTCGGGCAAACTGCCAATGCGCCTGCCTCACGCCCCAGGCTGGGGTATAGCCTGGGATCACAAACGGAGATTGCGGTTTTGGAAGTAGCTTCTCCCATCGCTTTTCAGCTTTTCCATGAGATATCCGGAATTTACATGAATTTGTCACTATCTACGGTAGCGCATGTCCAACCGTCCAACCCTGCTTGACAGTGGCACAATGTGGCACATGTTGTTCAACCTGATTCTGCCAGGTTGAAACCCTCATCAGACACGGACAGGCGGGTCATGAGTTGCGTGTACCAGGCCGAAAGTCTGACATCAGTGAAAACTACAGCACATGGGGATGAATTTCAAAGAGGCTTGGAAAGCTGTTTTGCGATTACTTGTCTTTTCCGAATTTTTGAGTTTGGTTGTTTTCTGTTTAAACTTTGACCCTCACAGGAAGCATGTGTACAATCAAAATTCGGCCAAGGCGCCGACGCTTGCACCAGCAGCAACGCCGGGTCCTGGTCAGGCTTGGAAACATAGGGCAAGATTGGCGAGATGCTCCTACCATTTGCATCCATTTGCGCGCTTTGGAGATGGCTACTGTACATGATTAGAGGAAAGATTTGAAATAATTCACATGATTTCTCATAATTCGAGTCGTTTTGGTGATGGTAAAATCAATTACTTTGAGGCCACGGAAGTCCTGTGATGTTTTGGGTCAGCCACTGCCGACGATTTCCAGGTCTCCAACTGCTGGGCTCTTAGGGATCGGTCTAGATTGCGATGTCACGGCGATGTCCGGCTCGCAGCATGCCGTCAGTATGTTTTTGGTGTTGAGCTTTTGGCATGTTTTGGATTTTTGGTGTTGAGCCAACAACAGAAAACTACCACAAGATATTCAAGATACCATTTCTTTGTATCGTCGCGCAAAAGCAACCATGTGCCCTGGGCCAACCTTTGTGACACCCTTGTGACACCCTTGCGACGTTTCAGTTTTCGGCTTCAGACGGCTTGCCACGCATTCCAGCAATCTTCCCAGCTATTTTCCACCTATTTTCCAGCTATCTTCCACCATGCGTATGCAGCGTACGCAATGTGCACAGTGGATGCTGTGGTACCGCCTGGTCCTGTTCGCCTGGACCGCAGTCCTCATCGCCGGAGGCGCTGTCGCCTGGAAATTCATCTCGGAGCGCGGCTTTCATCTTCCAGCGATTCCAGGCGCCATGCCATGAAATGCCATGAAATGCCATGAAAACCATGTTTCGATCGTATGATGTGCAGCAACTGCCGTATAGATGGTTTCCCCAGAACATCGAGCATCCCAGAACATCCCAGAACATCCTAGAACCTCCCAGAACCCAACTTTCGCACAGTGACACATGTTGATCATGTTGCATGCTGTTGCCGTGCCAGGCAGTCAGTACGACAAAGAGGAGCAGTCGTACCTGGGTTTCTTCGGTGATGGTGTGGATGGGGCTCAGGCTGCGCTGGTGCTTGGCAGTGATTCTCCAGTCATGGCAATGACCAACGTATCTACCTGTCAGATCAAACCAGCTCTGCAACAAGTTGGGAGCACTGGAAACACTTTCCAGTTGGAGTTGTCCTGTCAGAATGAGTCTGCACCTGGCGGTGGATGTATCACATCTTCACAGCTCAGGAGTGAAGTGTACTCGCTGCTGAGCATGTTCATGTCCAACAGGATGTCGCCAGAGAATTTGTCTCACTTCCTCGAGCTACAGGTGGAACCAATGCTGGATGCTGCTCCGGAGATGTTGGCTTGTCCGCATGTTGAGGACACCTTTCAAAAAAACCTGGCAGAAGCATCTTTCCAAGTGGAAGAGTCCCTTCGCCAGAAAATGCCGAACTGCGACTTAGCAGTTCTGTCTTTCTGGTCTCTGCCTCCACAACAGTTTCAGCGCAACTTGACCTTTGCAGAGTTCAAGTTTGAAGTCACGGTCACGCTCCCAGCAGGAAGCTTTTGGAATGTTTTTCAAAAACTGCTCAGCTCCAAAAGCCAAGAACAAGTCATGGTGGCAGTTCGTGCGCACACATGCAACGGCTTGCCAGTTGCTGACTTCTCACAGGAGGCTCTTCAAGTGGCCAACATTCTGAAGGATGTTGCAGAGGCGGCAGAGGGCATCGACGGTACCAACTTGAAAGCCGAAGTGATGTCCTTCGCCATCATCGTGGAAAGTATCAGAGATGGGGTTGAAGTGGTGATGGCCATGTCAACAGGTCGGGCCTGGTAGGGATTTTCAGTTTTCATCAGAAATGCGGCAGCCGAGAAGCTTCACAGAGAAATGCAGCCGTTGTGTAGTTCCAGTGTCTTTTTCAGCCTTTTCAGCTTTATTTTTTTGTGAAAAGTCTCCATGTCATTTTGGAGTACGGATTGAATATAGCCGAGTGCTGCTTGAAACCTGCTTGGATGACATGTTTGCTGAATTTCTACTGGTGCAGGTACCCTTCCCCTTGGGATTGCGGTCTTGGCATACATGGTGGGGAACCCGCGCTTGGTGATCATTGCCATCATCAATGTACTAGCTGCCGTCACAGGTTCGGTGCTGGTCATGGAGTGCCTTGTAACCCACCTGATGCCGGTGAGCATTTTCACGCCTCCCTTCTTGATTGCAGTGGTCCTGTCCATGTCCATTGACTATGCCTTGTTTCTTTTGAGCAGATTTGAGAAGGAGACAGCAGCAGGTGCAGCAGCAGCTGAAGCC